TACTACCTTAACGAAGACATTTCCAGCCCCATTTTTCCTAGCATCAGGTTCTCGAACTGACCACATTACTCGAATCATTTTCCCATTCAACATACTGTGATTCTTTTCCTCAATGGCAAGGTTAGCTGCACAATTGAAGTAAAGGATACTATCAAACAACCTCTTAATCAAGACTGTGGATAAATTTTACTTCAGGTATACGATGATACATTTTCTTCTCATATATATGTTTAACCAATCATAACAAATACGCCAAGCTCAGAATCAAACGTGAAGCTCATCGATCGAAAAGGTCACAAATCAAAGGCGAGTTCAGTTTACAACAAACACCTACAGGCTAATAAACAGATCCGCCTCCGAATCACGAAGAATCGAGTAGAAAATCCTATATAGAGATGAAGAAGACCGCTAAAATTTTCCCGGAAAAAATCGGCTAAACCTTGACAGATTCTCTACCGATTCTTCAATCCAAGTGTGCAAAACAACGATTACAAGAGAAAACGAAGATAATCGAACGAAACGCAACTCCGTAACCTTCAATCACGAAACGAAATCCTAGAAAAAAAGACAAAAAAAAATCAAAGGAGATGAAGAAGACAGTACCGTCGTCACGCGAGAGAAAGTTAGCGTAGCCATAACAGAGAGAACGACCAGTGGAGACGTCTTTACAAAGACGAACAGAAGTTAAGCTCTTGTACTCGGAAAACGCGTCGTAGAGTATACCTTCGGTAACGGAAGGATGTAAATCCCCGACGTAAAGCGACGCCGCAACCGATCCCGAACCAATCTCCGGCGGAAATGTAGCCGCCATTTCTCTGATACCTCCAAAAGAAACACAGTACCAACACACAACGCACAAAACGACGAAGAAAGCAAGAGAGAGAAAATGAGAACGAAAGAAGAAAACGGAAATCGGTAGGGTGTGATAAATGGAGGACGTTACTTGTTCTGATGAGCCTTTTTATATTCCGTTTCAGTAGCGTTTTCGTACGGAGGCGTTTTGTCGCGACTCGTGGCGTTTCGTTTACATGATCAGGATTTGTTTGGGAAGATTTATGCATGGAAGCACAATTTTGGTTGCGTTTTGTTGTGTGCACCACGCGCTCTTTTACTCTTGCGTTCTATTTCACTCTCTATTTATTTTTGTTTATAAAGTAAATTTGATTTTTTACCAAATATAACAAGCTTGACTTTTTCTTCCACCTACTTTTATATACAAAATAGTGTTAAAATTTCAAAATTCTGACATTTTGTTGCGTGTAAAGGCAGCGTTTTCCAATAGAATCACAGAAAAGAAACACTAAAAAGCCTTTAAAAATTGGTAAAAACTTTAACAAACAACCAATCGTCGTCATTTCACTTTTTTTATATGTAGAAACATACCATTTTTAGAAATGGAAATTTGTGGACACAAAACAAAATAAAAATAAACATCATGATCATCTAGCTCCTAATGCAATATAGTTGATGTACTTTTTAAATAAATGATTCGTATATATTCTGGTATTTCTCAAAAGAAAAACCTATATTGGACATGGCATAAATGATTATATAAAAAGCCGATTACAGAAAATAGGCCTCCAAGATTTATAGTTGTAAGCCACAATTAAGGATTTCATAAGGAGACTCTATCTACAATTACATAAGGCACTACTTACTGCAACAAATGAGATATGAGAAGAGAATGGTGAAAGAATCAAAGGACACTCAACAAAATCACCTACACACACTCTACTCTAAAACAAAACACATAAAAATGAAACTCTATAAAATTTACGTCAAGGAGAAGACAATACAGACAAGTAGAGCCAATAGGATGCTAGAAAACAGTTTTAAGAGCATATCCATTGTTGAAATGTTCAAGCATGTCTGCCCTGAGTTTACTAGATCCTTTCCCGAAGTTACTGATACATTCACAGACATCGAACCTGTCAAACAAAATCCAAGTTGTTTTCTAGTTCAGATGAAGATAAACCGATGACTAGAGTTCCCTAATTGTCATGACTATGAGAGTATATACTTACAATCATAGTTTGCCCATCCAATCCGTTGCCGAGCAATATCATACACAAAGACTTTATCTTTAAGGACAAGATCTGCAAAACAAAACAGTACATTTCTATATATATAAACAGCTGGAACAAACAACACAGAAAAATCATCAGTTTTTAAAGCTCAGTGTCTGACCTCCTAAAATAGTTTGCTCTTCTGGAGCTTTCATAAACCCAATGCACCACATCGATGCACCATCCTGCTTGATAGGAGAGCAAAAGTTAAAAAGATTACATATAAACCAAACTGTTTTAGCTCTACTACTTTTATGTATATATAACAATCAGAAGAGCTTACGTAGAAACCATAATGAAATAAATAGTCCTGAGGTCTTAACATCATTGATGCACCACCAGCAAACTTGAGACTAACCGGAGGGAACATATCACTTATGCTGCACACGAAAACAAAGGGAACCCTCTTTTAACTTTGAATTGGAGAGAACAGGATTTTGAACATTGCAACTATAGATAAGGAACCATACCTAGTTGAGACCAAATAGCACTGTTCTCCATTAGAAATTATCGGTGTTGCCAACTGTGACACGCTGTTTGTTATCTGCAGATTTAAAACAACAAACATCATGATGTGACAGCCAGAATCTCATGCAATTGCAAAATACACCAGATATACACAAACTTACAGCATTGAGAAAGGGATCATAAGCCTCCTTCACCAGATATGTCAAAGTGGTTCCCGTGTCAACAATAGTTCCACGGGTATTTGATGTTTCAAACGCTGCTGCATCGATGGGCAGCATCTGTCCATTCACGTCAATGCTCAGCAGAATTAAGTTATAGTGAGGTCTGTTTTACGTAATCAAAAGATAAAACAGATTCTTATCAGTATCACATGCCACCCACCAATTTCAGAACCAGATGAGAGGTTCAATCAGGAGGTAACAATTTGTTAGGATCCAAACGGGTAAACTCCTTTATTCAATTCACCAAAGAACTACACATCATAGAGCAAGTTGATCAACGCGAAAATATCTACTCTTGATCCAATTCCCGATCCCAAACTTTCTCCAGAAAGCCCCAACTCATTCTGCCAACTTTCTATCAACCTGTCAGCTCTCTAGCTAACCGGCTCAACGATTCTAACTAAACTGTTAACACAGTTACAATCCACTACAGAACCACCTTTGCTACATATCATGCTTAGGCACTAGACTAACACAAAGACTTATCACAATTTCAGGTTGTGACAGCATAATAGAAACAAAGAAACAATCTACAGAGGAAGAAATTAAAGAATATGTAAGTGAGCTTACTGTGACGGGACAAGAGGACTGTAAACGATTCCTGGGACCAATATCTCGCCAAGGACAAAGACCCCACCACCACTACCATCTCCTTTCAGGCAATGAGAAAACACTGGCGGTGTAATCCCTCGAGATGACAACTGAGAAACAACTGACAATTTTCCCTTGCCAAAACCAAATATACCATCCACTGCTTTGTCTGACTTTGTCAAGTCCCCAGATTGATAGGTACTACAGCTATTGCAAATACAAGAAAACGATTTACAAAGTTAAAGATCCATGATCGGCCTTACACTCTCGTGCAAACTCAAAGGCCAGTGTTTGATAGAAACAGCTCTCACCCAAAAACAATGGGAGCAGATGAGTTTGCAACCAAAGACTCTCCCAAAATCGCATCAAAATAGAACGTGTCAGTCATGTAGTAACCTGAAGTCCCACTTCCATCGCCATATCGAAAGGAGTAACCACACTGGTTGTTCTCAGAACATTGTGCTGCTGTTGTCTGAAAAACCGAAGAACAAATAGGATCTGAACAAGTAACAGAGCCAGCAGTCAAGGAACCAGGAGCGTCAAAGAAATGGAGATCGATCTGAAATAAATTTGGAAAAAAAAGATACAGATAAGCTCTTCACACTTCTCTAATGCAACTAATCCCACAACAAATCCTTTCAAGTCAAAACTAAGACAAGCTACTTACTCCAAGTCCACTAGTGTGAGGGCAATTACTGCAAGAACTACAAGCAACCCACAAGATGTCACTTCCAGTATCAATCTGAACATTGAATTCTGTAGGAGGAGAACCCAGTTTCACCTTTGTGAAATAAAGCCTACCAAGAAACATAACACAGATAATATCACATAAAAAGAAGATTTGTCCACAAAGCAAAAGAAAAAGCTGAGGAAACCCATTTAGATATGCAATAACAGAGATTGCAAATGTGACATACATAGTCGTCTTGGAGCTGCAACAAAGAAAAAGGAGATAAAGTGAATAACATAACTTCTAAATCCATCTCTGCTTCTAAACAATAATCAAAGAAACCTATGGTTAAGGATAACTATGTCAATTTCATAACCTAAATTTGGTAAAAACAAGTTTAAAGCATCTTAAATTGAACACAGATTATATGACAATAAGACAAACAATTCCGATTGCTCTCTACAACAAGAAAAACCCTCAAAGATGAAGAAAATTACCCGACAAGGTAAGGATCGGAAGAGCCTTGAACAGGGAAGTCGACGACACCACCAACGGAGTTTTGTCGACCTCCTCCACCGCCCAGTAAGATTCGCGCGTGTCTGACACGGTCACGAGCCCTGAGTTCACTGAGCTCTACTGGCTCGTCGAGAGGAAAAGCTCTCTCCAGAGTCAGAATCTTGGCCGGACCAGATGCGTATTGCGCAAACGACGAGTGAAACTCCGGCGACGCAAACCCAGTCACGGCGAACGCCACCGCCGCGAGAAGTAACATCAGACGGCGAGAAACACGCATTCAAGTAGCTCGTTCGGGTTCTGGTTATGTTCCCGATAAAGACAAGTTTTACAAAGAGCGACACAATTGCTCGATTCT